TGGACAGTTTGGCACGGCTCTAGACAGAGGCAGGGGCGGACACAAGAGCTTAGCCGTAGGTTCAATGGTGACTTGTGGACAGTTTGGCACGGCTCTAGACAGAGGCAGGGGCGGACACAAGAGCTTAGCCGTAGGTTCAATGGTGACTTGTGGACAGTTTGGCACGGCTCTAGACAGAGGCAGGGGCGGACACATGTTTAAGGTCGCCATTTCAGGTTCACTTTATTTTGGTATGCGCACCATGTATACATTATATTGCTCATTAATTTGGGGCGTCAAAGTCAAGGACCACCTCGGGCGCCACAAACTCAATCTACTCCAATGGCGTTTATTTTAAATATTCTTCTTATTCAATTATAATATACATTTATGATATTTTTTTTTTCATATTTCCGTTTGGGAATTTTTTAAATTTAATTTGCAAAACCCTCTCGTGTTACAATTGGATTTCCAGAGGCGGCCCCATCAAAAATATTGAAGGGATGTGAAGGGGTGTGTCAGTATAAAAGAAGTTTGTGTAGCCACGTCCAAGAGGGGGGGGGGGGAGAGTGGACGTTCTGATTCATCCCATGCTTCATCCAGCCCACCCCACCCCGAAGTCCCTTTAAATGTCGTTTTGAAGTTATCAAGTGTACGTCCTTGACCTTGGATAGATAAGATCTAACTCTCCCACTATGGTACGATGTTTCAAGAATTTTCTTTTTCAAAAATTTTGTAAATAAAAGTAAAAGCAATCTATTTTGTTTCGTTTCTGGGTTGCATCCCATTCATTATTGCTTTTCTATTTTAACTTACTTCAATTATTTAATGGTAAGATGGCTTTGACCTTCAATAGGCAACTAAGTGACTTGTGCTTCTGAGCTTCATGGTGGATTGATACAATTACTTTTCTTGACAAAAGGTGATACAAGTCTATTTTGTTTTAACGTAGAGTGTTTGAAAGAGTACCAGTGTTTATAAGATTACCAGTGTTTATTAAATTATAAGTGTTTATAGGAATTACCAGGTTTTAAAAAATTACCCGTGTTTATAAGAGTACTGTTGTTGATAAGATTACCAGTTTTTCTTCAATTACCAGTGTTCATTCAAGTTCCCAGTGTTTATAAGATTATCAGTGTGTATAAGATAAGTAGTTTTAAAAAAAAAAAAACAGTATTTATTTAAATTACCAGTGTTTATTAGATTACCAGTGTTTATAAGATTATCATTGTTTATAAGATTACCAGTTTTTATTAAATTACCAGTGTTTATAAGATTACCAGTTTTTTTTTTTAAATTACAAGTGTTTATAAGATTACCAGTGTTTATAAGATCAACAGTGTTAATAAGATTACCAGTGTTTATAAGATTACCAGCAGTTATTAAATTATCAGTGTTTATAAGATTACCAGTGTTCCAAAGATTACCAGTGTTTATAAGATTACTATTGTTGATAAGATTACCAGTGTTTATTAAATTATTAGTGATTATAAGATTACTAGTGTTTATAAGATTACCAGTGTTTATTTAAATTACTAGTGTTTATTAGATTACCAGTGTTTATAAAATTGCTAGTGTTTATTATCCTCATAACAAAGATTTCAATTTTATTGATCCGCAAACCATATGGTTACATTCATTAGATCAATATGGTTACATTAGATCAATATGGTTACATTAGATCAATATGGTTACATTAGATCAATATGGTTACATTAGATCAATATGGTTACATTAGATCAATATGGTTACATTAGATCAATATGGTTACATTAGATCAATATGTTTACATTAGATCAATATGTTTACATTAGATCAATATGTTTACATTAGATCTATATGTTTACATTAGATCAATATGTTTACATTAGATCTATATGTTTACATTATATCTATATGTTTACATTAGATCTATATGTTTACATTAGATCTGTATGTTAAGGGCCTTCATTAATTGTGATACCTAACAGGGCATTTGCATTGTCAACAATGGGCTTGTCATAGTTATGCGACTGGTGCACTGATTGATGCACCGATTGACTGATGCACTAATCGACTGGTGCACTGATACCTTCTTGTTTGTGTTTAACAATTAAAAAATGCATGCATAGCCATCATGTAACTCTTGGGGGAGGGGGGTGGTGGCGCTTCTGCCCCCTTTCAGTTTTTTGTGGCCCATGCATTGAAAGTTGAAATTCAACTGTTCTCCACATCTCAACATTGGGGCCCTTAAATATCCGGGGCCCTTACAGCCTAAGGTGTTGCAGGGCCCACAGGTGTTGCAGAGCTCATGTGATGGCTCTGAAGTCTTTATGTGTAAACCAGATGAACTATTTACTGCTCATTCAGACAGGCATAAACATACGACAACAGTTACTGAGAGGAATGTCCACTCAAATGTCCACTCAAATGCAGAATTTGTTAAAAATAAAAAAACACAAGACAATTTTGTTTTCCAAAATTCAAATTGTTTTTAATGACATCTTAAAATGTGTCAAGTTGTGCCACGTGTGGTCATGTTGTGTCACGTGTGGTAATGTTATTGGGTTCATGTGGTTTAGTTTAGTTTTTTGCACCAGGATTTCAACAAGTCAACAAAGATATATTTACATTCACAACTATTGTTGGAATAGCTAACAACAATGAATTTTAAAAAAATTAGCAAGAAGCAGCCAGGAGGTTTGGAGAGTATTAACAGTAGAGGTGTACATTGTGTACAAAAATATATATACAATGGTTAATAAAGCTTTTTTAAAAAATAAAAAACATTTGAATTTATCTGAAATATCCAACACAAAATGGATGTTGGATAAATTCTGAGAGAACATTTTACTAAAAAATTTGAGCCACTTATTAAAACCATTTTATGCCATTTGTTAAAAAAGAAATGAACAATGATGAACCTGACGTCACCACGTCCTGGTATGAAGATAACAATACTAATAATGAGGTTCAAAAGAGGGGGGGGGGGGGGGGGGGTTTGTACATAAAATATTGATTTGAAGACCGTTGGTAGTTTCTGATACAATACAAAGAATTGAATGATAAAGCAACTATTACATTTTAACAATCAACAAATCAGCTAACATTGTCATATTTAGCTGACAGAATATCCAGTGGGCGATCCATCCTCAAACCTAATGGATTTATGTGTGTGGAGGAGAATCTGTGTGTGTTGAAGAGATGCTAAGAAAGGAGGGAGCTGGGGCTAAAAAGTGTGTGTGTTGTGTGGGGGAGGGGTTTAAATGAAAGAAGGTCAGGCTTAGGTCAATGACCCTCTCAAACCTTTTGATCTTTATGTGACAAAGACTTTTAATTATTATATTTTTTTTAATCCATTGTTTATGGCAGAGGGAAAGTGGCCCAATGGTGAGATGCCGTGCACAATGTGTTGGATTAGCTTCATGTGTGCACAGCAACATTCAATATGTGCACAGCAACATTCATTGAGTGCATTTCATTTCTTGAAGTATTTTTTTAAAGTTTTGAGTATGTACCACACTATAAGATTGTCATTATATTACCTCATGTGTAACATTAAAGACCACCCCACCCCACCCTACCCACCAATTTGTCTGTGCCTAAAAACTCAGCAGATAAAATGTGTGGCCTCCTTAATTCAAAATTAATCACTTTATCAATTTAAGTATCGGCCTAGGCAGACAAGTGCTTTAATTGACTTGACCTGAGTGCACCAATGCCTTGACTTGCGTGCACCAACTAGTTTTGACTTGAGTGCACCAATGCCTTGACTTGCGTGCACCAACTAGTTTTGACTTGAGTGCACCAATGCCTTGACTTGCGTGCACCAACTAGTTTTGACCTGAGTGCACCAATGCCTTGACTTGCGTGCACCAACTAGTTTTGACTTGAGTGCACCAATGCCTTGACTTTTGTTTCATGTAGAGTTTCACTTCAAACTTATTAATAGATTTCAGGTAATGAAATGTTAATTTATAAAAATTGTGCCCCCCTGGGACCCTCCGAAACCAAATTATTAAACAAAATTCAATACAGATGGGAATAAATCCTGACAAGATTCATGAGGAGTTTGGTTTACATGCTGAACTTAACCAATAAAAGCCACCATCCCTCCCTGAAGAATGAATTGGGTCTGATACATTAAGGATCTCTTTTAAAAAAAAGCTTCAGTTGGTGTGTGGCAAAATGGATAGGACAAAACATAAAGCTTTCATCAGGCAAACAAATATGTTAAAGAATTTTTTAAACATTTTTCACCAATAAAAAGGTTAAATATCAGTGATGGAATCATCTTTTAATTATACATAAATAAATAAATCATACAAATAAAAATTTTCCAAAATAAAGTGTTTGCCCTTTTATTTGCCATTTATAGTTTTTAAATAAAACAAAGACTCTGAGAAATGTAACACATTGGAAGTTAAAAAGCATCTGATAATAACAACTTGTTTTTAAACAAGAAAGCACGCACAACTTGAAAGAAACAGATGATTTTTTTAACATAAAAAGAGAACAAATCTTAGTGTTAAACCGTTGTAATGTGATTTTTTAAATACATAGTAAGTTTATGTACATCATGTCAACAAATAAATGATATCAAATTTGTTTGTGAATCAAAGGATTGAGAGAAATGCCATTTTAAAAAATCAATAACTTAAAATAGTTATAATAAATAGATGTTGATCAAGACTATCTATTACATAGAATAAATAATATTTCTTCATATTTTTGTCATTACCATTTGCACAAGTGTGGGAGATTCTATGAATAACAACATATGTATTGTAACAAATTCAACATAATAAACCGTCATAGATTGGTAACCCAACATAAGGACCTCTAATATTGGAAATCATGAACAAATGCCATTTCAAGTCAAAGCTTCATCAAAATTAAAATGTTTAAAAAAATCTAAATTCTTCAAATAATTAGTTTTTTCCTTTTAAACTTGAGAACTTTAAATACATATTTATAAAAAATAAATTTTTGACTACATGAATCATATTAAAAGTATTGACATGTGAATTTATTGACAGACTAGCCGTACAACCAACATAACATAATTGTCATTCTTGTCAGGTCATGCTCAAGGTCAAGGACAGATTTTTACCCTAAAATAAGAATATTCTAATCAGAAACAATCTTCACTACCCACTATCAATCTTACTCAACAGCTTCACCAGTCTATGTCACAAGGCCTCGTCAGAATCCAAAAACTCATCAATTATGTTCGGGACATTCATGTACGTGGGGTCAGGGGTGGCCGGCTGGTCGACCCCCTTCGGGGTCAGGGCGAGGGGCGTGCTGTGGCTGGACGACGCCCCGTGGCGGGCCGACAGGGTGGACAGCCCGCCGTCCTGGAGATCGGCCAGGAAGGAGTACCACTCAGGGATGGGTTCCGAGATGGTGGCGCTCAGCCCCGTGGACGAGCACTGCACCGCGGGCGGGTGGCTGGCGGGGAGGCTGCTGGCCGAGCAAGTGGAGAAAGGCAGGGGTGAGGTGGGGAAATCAAGCATGGACGACAGCGACGAGAGCGGCGCCGGTGACGAGGCCGTTGATGACGACGGGGTGGACTTCCCCGGGTGGCGGGGCGCCGGAGACAAGCTCCCGGCCGGTGACGGGGTGTTGGAGGTGCTGGTGGAGCTGTAGCAGTGGACAGTGGTCAAGTTGCGGAGCAACGCCTGCGGGTCATAAGCCGCCGACGAAGACAGATCGGTGTTTTGGGATAGCAAATAGGGTGCGGGCTGCTGCTGCTGCGGCCTGCTGCGTTTGCTGCTGTCGGCAAACAGCTGGTCCGGCAAAGTTCTTTTCGGAGCCGTCGACCGAAACAGCTGAGTCTCGCTGATGTGTTCGTCCGACGAACTGCTGTCGTCTATGGTGATGGTCGTAGGGATTGGAGGTAGGGGCAGCATCTTCTCACTGACCAGGGACCCACTGAACAAGCCCACGCTTTGACAAGATGGCAACTGTCCGAATGGGTTGGAGGTAGTCCTGGCTGGGTTGGCAGTGTCAACGGCGTTCGGGAAACCGGGTTGTCTTCGCTGGGAGACCAAGGTTGACGGGTTGCTAAGGGAACGAGCTCGAGCGGTTAGATTGGGTCCGGCTAGGTCAAGGAGATCTGATGGCAGGTCACCGCTGAAGAGATCCCCCTGCGGGGAGTCTCCATACACCATTGGGGGTTCACTTCTGACACGTGACCCTAAGTGTTCTAATGTACCTTTCTGGTGGGTCTTAAAGCCAGCTGACTGAGCATGGTAGCTGGTTTGTGGGATCTGAGACACTGGTCTTTGCTGCTGTCTCCCCAACGACATCTGAACCATTAGCGGCGATGGCGCCCCCTGGGTCAAGACAGTCGGGGCTGTTTCTGTAACGGGGGGCCGCTCGAGTTGCTGCCCCATGTCGAACGCCATCTGTCTTTTTAAGACGGCAGACCCCGACGATGGCTGTCTGAGGGCGAGCAGTTGGTGTGTGAGCTGCTGAGACCCCTGCTGTGACCCCTGCTGAACCTGAATGTCATGCTGTAACGACGCTACAATGTTGGGTACGTGTTGCTGGTACTGAGATGAGGATCCCTGGTAGGTCTCACGTTGCTGGGACAGGGGTGGTGGAGATGATGACGAGGACGATGATGACGACGACCAGGACAGATTCACCGAGGATTGTTGCTCTTGGAGCTGCTGCGATTGCAAATGTCGCCTGGACTGCTCCATCTGCCGCTTTTTCTGGGCCATCTCTTCGTTGGCAATCATTTTGATGAGCGCGTCCGGCACGGGGCCTCCGTTACCAAGCTGTGAGCACCATTGCTTACACTATAAAGAAAACAAGAGAGCATGTGGACCACACATCATGTAAACATACAAAACAACATAACTGTCTTCTCAGACAGTTCATTATATCATATAAGACAACGTAACTGTCTTCTCACAGATCATTACATTATATAAAAAACACAACAGAGCTATCTTCTGACAGATGATGACATCAAATAAGACAACACACAGCTGTCTTCTGGTCGTTGATGACACCTAATAAGATAACACATTTGTCTTTTCTGACCGCTGAGGACATCAAATAAGACAGCATGCCTGACTCCTCATTGCTTGATACAATTCCAGCGAGAAGGACAGAGCATTTATTTAGACTCGGAGAACCGCTGCCTTTTCTAGAGTTGCCAAATTCTTAGAAAGAACATTTTCTTTTATTTTTAACACTTTAGAATATCGGCTTTTCAATGTTAAAAGATCAATCGATATCGCCAGCTTACCAGATATCGCCAGCTTACCGCTCAATGTTTTCTCAATTTTTCTATCACGAATTCGGAACGGAGCTAAAAAAGGTGAACGCGATTGTGACTTGTGTTTAAGATGCAGCAGCCAAAAAAAGTAATACAAAAATAAACCTCTTGCTGTCTGTAAACGTAATGTGTGGTATCAGTTCCATGCCCTGATAAGCCCATTGTTGACAATCTGGCCAAGACCTTCAACAAAGTCCCTCTTTGTGGGTCATGTGTAATCGAATCCATTTTTATAACGTATTACTTAAATGTTATGACATTTTTTGTTATTTTCAAGAAGACATTGCTAGTATTAAATGCTTTATGTTAATTTGTTCCGTTGGATTGACAAGGAACGCGTGCTTTTGTTTCGTTATTTTAAGCTGTTATTGTTTTTCTCCCTTATTGTCAGTTGTGTTTAATTGTATTTTTGTTTTTTTCTTAAGTTGTGTTTTGTTTTCCTCTACTACGTTCATTATTTGACTATTGAATGCTTGTGTTTCTTGTGCCTCCATTCTTCATTAGCGTTGACGATTCTAGTAGTATGTTTTTTTATAACAATTATGTCAGCAGATGGGAGTCGAATGCTTTATTCTCTGTGTCCGTCTGTCTGCTTGGATGTTTGTATGTGATGTTTGGCGGCAGTGAACCGCCGACAAATAAGTTAGATAAGCATCACATTGTCAAGACAGTTGACAGGTCAGAATGTAGACATGTCATCTAGCGACAGAAGAGTAAAGACAGCTTGTCATCTAGCGATAGAAGAGTAAAACGATATGTCACCTGGAGACAGAAGTGCAAAGACAGGATGTCACCTAGAGACAGAAGAGTAAAGACATCTCAGAGTAAAGACAGCTAAAGAGTAAAGACAGCTAAGAGAAAACGCTTCTCTGGGTGTTCTATCAACAAGGTAGACATCTTACCCTAAACAACACGATGGAAACTTGAAAACATCAAGAACCTTGATTGTAAAGAAATGATTTGAACTTTTTTTTTTCTCCTGTATTTTATTTAAATTTTTGTTCAAATTAACCTGAATGTTTCAGAATTGTTATTATTATTATTTATTTTTTTGTTATAGTTTAAATCTTGAAAAAGGCCCTTAATGAGAACATTGAAATTAAAAAAAAAAAATTCAAACTTACAGTCTCCAGCTCCTCCCTCAGGGCAAACACGGCCTTCTCCCTGTTGAGCACCAGCTCCTCGAGGTACTGGTACCGGAGCTTCTTGCGCGCCCTGCACTCCCTGGCGCTCTGTCTGCTCCGCTCCAGCTTTGCTCTCTCGTCTATCTTCGACGGCTTCCGGCCCGGACGTTTGCCCGGACGCTTGCCCATTGTTTTGGTGTTGCTCTCAAAGTTTTCGCCTATGCTCATGGTCTGTTGGAGAAACAAATGAAAACACTGATAGGAAAGAAGAAGAAAAAAACGTAGTCTGTAGTTGAACATATTAGTGTCAGTTGGTGATACTTGGGTGCATAGTGAGGCAATGGCTGACATCGGCAGAAGATAAGACCTGACGCGTTCTTGACGTAGTCTCACCAGAGAGTCGGAGAAGCCAAAATTCAACCAAACATTTATTTCTTGTCCACATCACCACCGGACAATTTATCTCATCCACCACAAACAGCTGACCGAGAAGTGTGATAATTTATCTCATCCACCACAAACAGCTGACCGAGAAGTGTGACAATTTATGTTGAAGAAGGGAAAAAAGTATGTATCACTTGTTTGTCAGTGAGAACATGGATATCTCTACATGTCACAGTGTGTCCGTGTCTCTGTGTCCGTCTTCAGGGTGTCGCTGACCTTAGACCCCATCAGTACGTGACTCGACGTCGAACGTCGTATAGACAGAAACGTGATCTCCGTCAGAGACAGAAACGTGATCCCTAACATCCTTACCCCAGTAAACAAAGACCCGTGTCTCGTAACACCAAGCTGAACAGGATGAGATTCCACACGTACACACACTGTACACACATGATAAGGGCACTTGTACAATTACATTTCTACGTGTACGTGTGCAATTACATTTCTGTGAGCTAAAGTTTTAAGCCAACGTGACCAGTAAAACAAGGAGTTGTCACCGCAGCTAGACTCCAGGAGAAACTAATCATTCATTAAACAGGCGCTAGCTTTAGGTTTTTTTTTTGTTTTTTAAATTCCGATATACTTCGCCATTAAGAGGAATGATGACGGTAGCACCCGGAACTATGCAAACATTCTATTACAGAAACAAACATTCCATTACCCAAACAAACATTCAATTACAGAAACAAACATTCCATTACCCAAACAAACATTCAATTACCCAAACAAACATTCCATTACCCAAACAAACATTCAATTACCCAAACAAACATTCCATTACCCAAACAAACATTCCATTACCCAAACAAACATTCCATTACCCAAACAAACATTCCATTACCCAAACAAACATTCCATTACCCAAACAAACTGGATGGTGGTAAAGTAATAAAACCTATTCAGGAACGAATTATTGACAATCGCCAATTCATTTCACCTTCATTAAATTTCTTTAATTGGACGCCATGATTGTTAACAATGTGGCCTACTTATTTTGACCTTTGATTCGACCTGACTCATCGAACAATAACCCCCTTGTGCTCATATTATCAAATCGCCATTCTAATCTTATGAATGGAAGTTATTTTTTGACTGACCTGCCAGAGAGTACAAGTGATTCATTGTTATAATCATAAATCAACTGGAATATTTCGCAAGAAACAACCGTACCAGCTTCCCCAACCGTACCAGCCTCCCCAACCGTACCAGCCTCCCCAACCGTACCAGCCTTAACGTATACAAAACTTTGTTATCATTATCTGAGAAAAGCTTTTTGTTTTGATATCACCTCGCCGCATTAAATATATGGGGGGGGGAGGGGAATTACATTTGTGAACTTTGACCGGCTGACCCTGTGCGCCACTTATATGCGCAGCGACGGCGATGACACGATAAGCGCGTGCCGTAAACATACGATAAAGGTTTTTTTTTTGTGTCCCCCCCGCCCCCATAAAATAGAGGGGGGGGGGGGGGAATTACATTTGTGAACTTTGACCGGCTGACCCTGTGCGCCACTTATAAGCGCAGCGACGGCGATGACACGATAAGCGCGTGCCGTAAACATACGAACAAGGCTACGTTGAGTCAACGTCAGGTGACACTGACCCTTGACCCCCCCTTACAAGCTCATCCTCTGAACCAAGGTGTCACTGGACATTACTGGGAGCAGCAAACATGGGTCAACTATACAGCGAACATGGGTCAAACACAGCGATCTATGCTGGTCAATGGATAATAAAGCTACTAGATGTCACCTGAAGCCTGTTATATCACACCATACTAGCCCACGTCCACACCCCACTAGCCCACGTACGCACATACGTACACACCTTACCAGCACATGTACAAATCAACACAGTCCAGCCACAACTGTTCTAGAACCTCCGGAGGAGCGGCTCACATCCGAACGGCTGGCAATGCGTGGCCAAAGTGTCATCACTTTGTCTAGACGGTGACCTATTTCATCATGTGATGACGACTCATGCTACGGACCGACTTCTAGAGCCAAGCCATTGCAACGGTACTAACACACCAGGACTGCGACTCTTGAAATGGTTTACTGACTCCACCGATTCACCCGTATTTATACGCGTCGGTGATGAATAAAGTGACGTGGACGTGACGTCACAAAAAGCCAATGTCAAGAGCAAATTGCTAAATCACTTCCACCCCCCCTCCCTCACCCCAACCTTTCCGCACAAAAAAATACAACCTGTCCGCGCCATCATTAAATAATGCGCGATAAATCCGGTGCCGTAATTTGCCGTGATGACAAAATAATTACATTGAAATGAGTCGCCAACGAATTTCAAAGTTTGTAGACATTTCAGGTAAGCCCTGCGATAAATCAATTTGTCTGCCCGCTACACCAGAAGCCGATTAATTCAACAAAATAGTTGATGCTTTTTTTTTAAACAAACCTATTTTGGATTTCGTCTATTTTATTAACTATTTTTTTTAAAATTTAAATGGTAGTGTGTTTTTGTTTGTTTGTTTTAATCTATAAAAAAGACAAAACAAACCCTTCCAAATGAAGAAATTGTTGGTTTTTTTACCTAGACAACTTTGTTTAATTACGATTTTTAAAACTGCGCGTCTATAAATAGCCCCCACTGAGCTTCTAAACGAGGCTACAGTATTGCTAGACAGTGAACCTATTCTTTCTAAAAATAAAAAATATATATTGATCACGCAGTGGCCTTGAATACATGACCTTGCTGGCGTACATTTATCTGGATATTTTTAGCCCAAACTCGGAAATATATTCCGCTTCGAGAAGCTTCACGTGCGTTTCCCATGACTACACACTTTTGTTGATATCTTGGGATTTAACATGGCGGACTCTGCTGTTAACGATCTAATAACAGACTAATATTTTGTTCCATATTCTTCATCTTTGATTCAAAGGCTACGTTTCTATTAAGTGAGTTATACACTCATAAATATTATTTTTATTGTATATTGGGCCTAGATCTATATTTCAAAGAACAAGGAAGCACAAGACTTAGTTGCAGAGGCGTAAGAACTTGGACTGTTGGTCAGAGTGAGAAAAATAACATGGGCATGGGCGGATCGAGTTACCCGAGGATGGTTCAGTTTTAAAAAAATATATATATTTTTTATTTATGTTCTTTTATTTAAAAAAAAAATCTAAGTCACAGAGAGGGTGCATATGAGCACCAACCCACCAAGACGCCCCAGAGAGGGTGTATATGAGCACCTACCCATCAAGGTATATCTTGCAATCAAAACTTAATGTGATGCTTTCGGCGACCAGACGAACGTGCACACCTGCAACACTTCTCATTACACCTGCAACACTTCTCATTACACCTGCAACACTTCTCATTACACCTGCAACACTTCTCATTACACCTGCAACACTTCTCATTACACCTGCAACACTTCTCATTTATTTCATCATTTACACCCGATACACCTCTCCGTTTCGTTATCATTTACAAATGGTGCAAATACCCGCTCCTGTTTGGTGCAAATACCCGCTCCTGTTTGGTGCAAATGCCCGCTCCTGTTTGTATCAGAAAGCTGTTGCTGACATTGACCTGCAGTTATAACAAATTCCTTCAACGCTGTGCTAGATTCTTCCAGAAGGCCACAGCGACCTTGACACGAGGTCAGGGCGTTGCGGGATGTAAACAAGTTCGGGTTCGATCAATACTGACGGCACAAAGCGTCCCTGCCCGCCCCAAGCAGCTTTGTGTCGGTGTGCTAACACGAGGGTCGCGGAACTGTAACAAATATATTATTATTATGATTAGTTATGAGTGGTCACTACGTGAGGTCCATCATTCACGGGGAGGGGGCTCGTCATCTACTATTTTGGGAGGGCTTAGCCTTACGTACGAGACTCTATCACAAGCCCGCAAAAGAAAGACACACATGTCCCTTCCATGCGATCATTTCAAACAAATCTAACGAGTACATAGATCACAGTGTGTGCACAGAGTACATGCTGTCCACCACGTCACGTGACTGGCTACGGTCATGTATCAGTATTTGTTAAACGAAAATGGCAGATACTCGAAGTACTTTCAACTTTTCAGAGAAGCCCACAAAAAAGGGAGATGTCACCGACCTATTAGATTTAGGTCTACTGGTCTGACCCAGACATGCAGACATGTCTCCTTTTCTCCCCCCTCCCCGCCCCCCCCCCCCCACCTCCCTCTCACGGCGCCCAACCACGCTGTGCAGCAGACAGGCGCCTAGTGTGATGCGGGACACGAGAACATCGGAATAAAAAGCTGTGTTGGAACAACAGTATAGGACCTACAGAAATCAGACAACTGTGCTGGGGTGTGTCCGTAGCAAAGATAGGTGGGGGTGTCCGCATTATAGGTGTGTGTGTGGGGGGGGGTGCCATAGTGACTCCGCACCATCCTGCATACTAAGTTACACAAAAAAAAATTACATAACAGAAATCAAAACAAAGTAATGTTCTTTTGATACATAATTAGGCTCTTTGCAACTGTTTGACAATAATGTTAATATAATATTATAATGACAATAATGTTAATATAATTGACATTACAAGAGTCAAATAGCTCATGACTTACATTTTTATGTCAACTGAGGCCCACCAATTCTTCCAGTCATGACTGAGGCCCACACCAAGTCTTCCAGTCATAACTGGGGCCCTCAAGCCACCCATTACCGGTACACCAATAATCACGAGGACACCATGTTCCTTGTGTAAATGTGTTGTTTTTTTAAACCGACCTACTATGACTATTTAATAAGAATCTCTCCTTCAAATTACCAATCCCCCGTTGGAAGTTATTCCAAGCTAACTGGGTTGGGTTGAGATTGCAGGCAATACTGGACATATTTGTGGTCAAATGAGGGGCGGGCCGTGCTCTGCTGGGCAAAGGGGATGGTGACACCAGCCAGTGTTGACGAAGCGAAAGAGGTCAGATGCCGTGTGTCTACTGATATCAGCAATCTATTTGCCATACTGCGAGACACTCGGACGGACGTGCTAGGCGACGGACAATGAGTCTCTGCAAACAGAGCGGAAATGATGAAACAACTCAACACAACCCGTTCACCAACAAACACTATGGCACTATAAACCAACTCTGGGTTATTAAGCAATGTGCCGTGGGCCACGGGCCGTGGGCGCAATCCCAAACCACACCCGCCCCACACACAAACACTTTTTTTTTTCTTATTTCCTAAAGGCGAGCACCCTGTTGCAAAGAAAGTGTCATTAAATGTCAAACTATGCAAAGAAAGTGTCATTAAATGTCAAACTATGCAAATAAAGTGTCATTAAATGTCAAACTATGCAAAGAAAGTGTCATTAAATATCAAACTATGCAAAGAAAGTGTCATTAAATGTCAAACTATGCAAAGAAAGTGTCATTAAATGTCAAACTATGCAAAGAAAGTGTCATTAACGCTCAAACTAAATGGGACGATTCCTACAGCTGTCTTTGTTGTAATATTGTTTATAGTATCGTTAACACTAACAGATGTGAGTACCGCAACGAAAAAGCACATTAAAATGTGATAATTATTACAAGTCTACGCCAAAAACAAAGAAACAACAACAACAAAAGCACCCTCGCACCCCTCCTAGCTCCACATGAACTGGACCAAGCTTTGCAGTGAGTTCGCTAGACACCTCCTGTAATCTCTGGCTGTGGGGTGGTAAAAAAACGAGGCCAACCAATTTTAGAGAGAGAAAAGAAACAACACGTCAATTGACCTCACCGAGGCCGCCGTCCGATAACGAGGACATGCTACATTGGATATAAAATACATGTTTGCTACCAATGGGGTGGGGGGGGGGTGGGCCATGTCCCCCCAGTTTGAACCCGTTAAGGATATTAATCTCCTCTGGTAGCTTATGTAAATGGTAAAAATACACTTCACTAAGTGGTTCAATTCTATAAAGGTGTCGGCCTGGGGGAGGGGGGGGGGGAGAGGTGGTGGGCACCAGCACGATCAATCCTGCAATAACAAACAAATATAATAAAATACGGGGTCGAGTGCCAAAGGTCACGCTGATCTAGTTACTTTCGTAACTGGGGTAATGTTTGCTTTCGTTACGAAACATTTGCACAGCTAAAACATACATGACTTGAACTTTCGGCAAGTTATGTCCTTTCAGATTCTCTGTTCATTTGAACAGTTCCCTCATCGAATATATCAAGCTGGGCCAAGAGTATGGCCCTTCTTAGCAAGATCATACCTCATTGCGTGCATTTGATTATATTATGAAACAGTGTGGTATGAGTGATTATGAGCACGGTGCTCTGGTAAGATTACACAACAATGGTGTACGCAACAGCTGCGCGTAAAGCTTCTACTTCTACAGTGCACGTCTGTGCTCGAGTCAGCGAGGCTTAGCTGATCAGTTGGTTGACTGGACAGAACACGCCAAACTCAACATTCCTGTCAACGATATGTATCACGACGTGGTCAACAAGACGTGGGTGGCGCTACAGTTGAGTTAGAAATGAGCCGGGGGCTTGTGGGGGAAACCAATTTTCGAAATAAAATATATCCCCAGTATCTGAAAGGCCAAGTGAATTGTTGATAAATACAACGAATTATCTGTACCGCACTTTATCCTTCCGATGGGATAGCCATTGAACTTACGCATGAGCCATGAGCTATCCCAGGAGTAGGAGGGGAAGCAAAATAGTTAACCAGGAGCCCAAGACAATATTTACACCACTTTAATTGACCCCTTAATAACACGTAAGACTAATAAAATGTAAATAGAATGCCACACAACCTACCCGACACATTACATTATACTACACTTATACACAAATTATATCTTATCTGAATTACTACATTTATATTATGTCGTTACTGGTGAACTAGCGCCATGATGACAAGCAACATTATTTCTCTTTCATTTTAAAATGATCTTTTAAGACTTTACCCCACCCATAATCTACTAAAATGTTCATTCCTTTACTCAACTCCTCAACAATTTGTCAACAAACTGCTTACGATGCCCAGTCTTTTTCCTTGACATTACCGATAGAGTGCAGAGCCTCGATTTGGCTGGTGGAAAAATTGTAAACAAAACAAGCTCCTCCCCCAAAATGGCCTACCTCCTCACAAACTCGCCGTCCAGTTCCAACATTAACCACTAAATTTAGCTACTTAATATAAGGAAATATCACACTGACTTATGTAATTACTATTTTAGCATCCTCTATTTCATGCTTTTCGATAGTTAGTGAAAAGGCGGATATTACAATTTAGGCTAGTTTGAACTGACCTAGTTTCAACATGAATTGTAATTGTAGCCACTCGATTAACACAGTCAGTCTGTAGTATTAGCGTGTCGTGACGGTTGCAGGTGGTGGTTGCCAACAGGCGTTTTAGTGGCGATTGCAAACATGGGAATCTTTAGAATTAGATTAGTTGTGAAGCGTTGCAAGTAGTAGCAAACACAACAGAATTGCTCATACTATATGAGCAATTTAATTTGTAACAGTATATAGGATATGCCTAAATTCTAAATCATTCATATCAATATCACAACATGTAATATGAATATGATTGATTGATGACCTATGTCATAAAAATAACATTACGTTTAAGATTACTGATTAAGTCTACTTTAAATATAATCGTGCTAAATGGATTGTTGAAGTCACTGGCTCACCTAGAATTGTCATTGTAGACATAATCTATTTCATTTAAATTAAAAATGTCATTTTAAAAATTAAATTTACTGTCATAGTTGTAATGCCTAATTTCTATGCAAGTCCTTAAAGAACATACTCAGAACTTGTTTCAGTCTGAAATAACAAGTTCTTAGCTTGCAGCATCAGTATTATTCATCGGACTGAAATGCTCATGTTTTCTTTTAAAAAATAAATATGTTATGTTATTAATTCAACAACTGAAAGTAAATTCAAGCTGTAAATACACAAACAAATTAGTCATTAAAAATGTGTAATTAATTAAAATTCACTTACCCTCTCAACCGTTTTCCGATCTGATGGGCCGCCTCCGTTATTGTTGGTAGGCTGTGGCATAAGCTTATAAATATAATCCAAGCAAAGAACAGTCATATATGATATTTAAGTTGAATGAAAGTTAGATAACTGTCTCTAGTGTGTTCCGTACGATTCGAGTTTCCGTCTGACAAGTTAGCTGTAAACATTTGCCTTATATAGGGAAATCCCAAAATAGACGAACCAATGAAAAAAATGTACGTGACGTCACAAAGCTATTCAGGTCGGAAACACCCTGCAGCCATGTTACTATTATGGAATATACCACAGATTTAGATAGTTTTCATTTTATTTTGATAATGATTGACAATAAACATCACAATTTATAATAGATCAGCTGTTATTGTTGACAAATGACTTTGACAAACGTTTATTAATTATAAAACTCCAAACAACTCCTTGGATGCAAGAAAACAAAGATCACGTGACATATGACGCGTTTGTACTGGATTCGGCTGGTGGGTCAAGTTACAGTTTTTCACTCAGTCAAAAGAACAAAAATCGGTGACGAATGATGTCATAGCCTCGTTTTGACAACCAGATTAAATGACGTAACGTGGTGGGGTGACCTAGTGTTTGCAAATAAAAAAAAAAAAAGAAGTGAATCTTAAATGAATGGAAAGAAGTTGAGAACGATAGTTACGGCTTTATATTTATGTTTGATAGTTATAGAGGATATGTTCAGTGCATGAAAAATACAGATTGATTTAGTATTACTAATCAATTTTATAAATAAAAGTAAAAAGCTATTACAAATCTTCTTTTCTTTTTCTTTTTTAAAATAAATTTTCATATTAAGTAGAATTCATGTTTAAATGATCAAATTGAAGACATGGGTATCCTTGCCCTTGTAACGGCAACGGCACTTAGGTTTAACAAACATCTCTATCTACACTCTACACACATACATAAACACTCCTGTGTTGGATTTGGGGCAGCCAATAGTTGTTTTCATTAAGTGTGATGACCAAACTGTCCCATTGTTTGAAATGTGCATGTGCTATTAAGAAGGGGCGGGTTTCTCATATGACAAAATGTGTTAAGATCCTGATTAGAAACTTACCCGACTCTGTTAGTACACTAAGCTGTACCCCGACTCTGTCAGTACACTAAGCTGTACCCCGACTCTGTCAGTACACTAAGCTGTACCCCGACTCTGTCAGTACACTAAGCTGTACCGACTCTGTCAGTACACTAAGCTGTACCCCGACTCTGTCAGTACACTACACTGTACCGACTCTGTCACTACACTACACTGTACCTCACTACGCTGTACCACGACTCTGTCAGTACACTAAGCTGTACCGACTCTGTCAGTACACTAAGCTGTACCCCGACTCTGTCAGTACACTAAACTGTACCGACTCTGTCAGTACACTAAACTGTACCCCGACTCTGTCAGTACACTAAGCTGTACCGACTCTATCAGTACACTAAGCTGTACCCCGACTATGTCAGTACACTAAGCTGTACCCAGACTCTGTCAGTATACTCAAGACGGTACACCCACAGTTGTTTTACGACATGTCTGCAAGCCCTTCTTACCAATTGTCTACATTCGCAGAAAGCAGACAAATATCCACCTAATGAACTGAGCCTCTAACAACGAGGACGACAGAAGATTGACTTGTTGTTTTAGTTTCCAAGAAAGTTGTTGTTTTGAAAACTGTCCCTTAAAATCGTCTCAATCTCTCCTCAAGAGAAAAGTCTCGTATTTCTTTTGTGACCCGTCTTTCAAAATAATGATCTCATTTATTATTATGCTTATACTTATACATAAAATTACATCTTTAAAAAAAAAAAAAATTCTTAAGTGCTGAATAAACCCAATGATCTGAGTCACACAACTGGAAACATTGAACTATCCAGTCTTAACAAGGTCAAGGTCTTCACAATCGAGTACGCACCACTCAAGTAGTCCGAACACTGTCTTCACTATGTGAGTAATCGAGTACAAAACACTAGACCCTTAGAGCGGGAGGGGCTGTTACAAAAGTAATGTAACGAAATACGGTGGGCTTTTTCAAATAACAATTTTTAAGACATTAAATTTTAAAAGGTTAGAATACGAGCTTAGTTATAAGTAGGCTTATTATGAACATTCTAACAACACTCTGACGTCACAAACGGACAAACGTCATTAAAATGTGATTGAATGAAACAATGTTTTCCCCGGACAATTATTTTAATACGTGAAATCGAATACGTGTGTGCACCTTTAACTCCATCTGTGAACTCCAGACTTAAATTTCTGTATCTAAGAAAACGCGTGCGACGACTCAAAAAAACCCCCCAACATACACAGAAAAACGCATCATTGGCCAAAATTGTCCATGCTCGTCATATCAGTCATTCCAAACCAGAGCCTCTCAATCAAAATGCTCTGCCACACGCCAATCACGCAAAGTTATGACTCATCACGAATCACGGATCATAACATTTATTGTGATGCAACAAACGTAACAACGGATAGATTAGGATCTTTTAAAAAATATGCTTTCATTACGTATAGATTTGAAGTCAGCGCCTTCTGATCAGACCGGTTTGGTCCAATCCGCGAAGCTGGAAACAGCCTACACTCAATTTATTTATAGAAATAGATCATCTACCATGTCAGCCAATCATAAGGTTGCAAAAAAATCTTAGTGACCTGAATTTTCCGCCCTCTAGCGGATGCACAGAGCGACTTGACTTTTATTTCTGTTATCGTTCATTAAATGGCTAGTAAATATAATTTTAAAGATTAAAATATCACGTTGCTAATTAGAGTTATTAGAATACACGGATAATTGTTCAAGAATTTTTAGAAATGGTATAGGAGTTTGTTTTTGTTCCATTTTAATTCTTAATACAGGTACGGTATGTCAAAACAACTTCTTTTTACATAGTGAGATTGTGCTAACCAATCTTCTGGTCGTAGTCGACCGTCTAACATTACAGGACTTGGACTAAGCTATTGTGTAAGGCTAGTTTGTATTGTCAATAGGTTAGTTTATGTCTTAAAGTATCGAATTAAAAACCTAAACCAATCCTAAATACCACTACTTAAATATTAGATCACAAGCAGCCAAGCACGTCCAATGTAACATGTAGCAGGTCAATTATTTTAAATACTTTTGGCTTAAAAAATGTTTTTCGTAAGAAATCTAATTTTAAAGAGTTACTCAATAAAATACTAAAATTAAATGAGTATGTACAAACCTAAAATTGTAAAATTATTTAATTTTAATATTTTGTAAAAATACGAAACTAATCTAAAATTTGAAGATTATATAACGATTAAAAATAGAAGGTTATGTAGTGATATAATAATAGAAGATTATGTAACGATCTAAAAATAGAAGATTATGTAACGATCTTGTTATAAAGAGCTTGTTTACATAATATTTCTCGTGCGTGCCCTCTGATTGACCCCGCATGAGACGCTGTGTTCACAAAGGGGTGTGGCTTAGGCCTTTGAAGTATTCTTGTTTACACCGCCAGCCACTAAAAAATAATTAATCTGTTCCAAGTAGTGTTTTGTAGAATCATTCTGATGGTTCTAGAACTATCGTGTAACTTATCGAAGGCAGGGCTTAGGCGTCGGTAGACCCACCTATATAAGGGATTGACAGGCACGGACGAAAAAAAGGACGGAGATTTTTCACATAGATTTTCTTAACATTACGAGGCGTGTTTTATTCTTTGTGTATTTGTGTGCTCCTACTTATATGTGTTTATTTCGCATTATTTATTGGCATCATTATTTCTAATTGTATTAACTGTGTACCGGTACGACATCTGCCATACTGTAAGTTGAAGATTGTAATTTTATTTTATTTTATTTTGTAATTATCTTAAGAAATAATAAATCTTAATTAATTGTAACTAGAAACTGTTTTGGGTCGTATCTTTAATATTGTTGATTCTATGGTATCGTCCTTTGTTAGGCACTGTTTACAACGAGCCAATTAAAATTAAAATAGGAGATTTGTTTTGGGTCGTATCTTTAATATTGTTGATTCTATGGTATCGTCCTTTGTTAGGCACTGTTTACAACGAGCCAATTAAAATTAAAATAGGAGATTAATTTCTCCCAATACAAGTCAGTGCGTAACAATCTAAAAATAGAAGACTCTGTAACCATCTAAAATAGACAATTATATAATGATTTAAAAATAGAAGATTTTGTAACGATCTTAAATAGAAAATTATATAAATATTTAAAATTAGAAAGACATGCAATTATCTTAAATCAGAACATTACTTACTAGATTATCTAAATATAGCAACGGGAAGTCGTAATGGATTTATAAAATATTAGATTTCTTAAAATTCCTGTCCAGTTGACATGCATTTATAAGATAAGCATCTGTTTGTAAACCGTCTGATTTCATGAACGTCATCCTTACAAACAACATTACACACGTGCATTCTTTGAACAGAATGATCAAGTTTCTAGCACTAAGTTGGCACAGACAAATGTTATGTCTTCTCTAAATGCACGTCAAATGTCCCCACACATCGGTAGTATTTCTCTTACATCTTACATAGTAAATCGAGTGCTTACAAAGTAAATTTAGTACCGTACTTAGAAAGTAAATATAATTAAAAAATTTTTTTTTTTTAAAATTCATATGTAACTATGCATTGAATCACTCAAGTCCATTAAAGAATCATACAGGAATCGATACCCAGAATGGCACACGACTCCACTTCGCCATGCCACGGGTCACGCGCATTGCAAGATACTGTGTGTGAAGAATCAGACAGGAATCGATACCCAGAATGGCACACGACTCCACTTCGCCATGCCACGGGTCACGCGCATTGCAAGATACTGTGTGTGAAGAATCAGACAGGAATCGATACCCAGAATGGCACACGACTCCACTTCGCCATGCCACGGGTCACGCGCATTGCAAGATACTGTGTGTGAAGAATCAGACAGGAATCGATACCCAGAATGGCACACGACTCCACTTCGCCATGCCACGGGTCACGCGCATTGCAAGATACTGTGTGTGAAGAATCAGACAGGAATCGATACCCAGAATGGCACACGACTCCACTTCGCCATGCCACGGGTCACGCGCATTGCAAGATATTTTTTGTGAAGAATCAGACAGGAATCGATACCCAGAATGGCA